ATCATTTTATCATTAAGTATTTAGAAGTATATAGCATTATAGGTTAAAAAATGTATAAATTGGCTATTGTATTTACCTGAAGAAAGACACATCTCTAATTGGACTCCAAACAGTTTTACACCCTTTCACACAACAATTAAAAACCATTTTTTAATTTAAGTATTAACACTTCACAAATAATATTAATGGATAAACTGCTTTTCAACACTTTTCTTGTTTTTTTGTCTTAGACTATACTCACATAAATTTCAACCAATAAGCGTCAACGAAACAAAGACAGAAATCCTTGTTGTGGTGCTCTCTTTCGCGGACACATCGTAGAGAGGTCGTGCGCGTTCCACTTATATTATATTTCAGTGGTATGAATCCAGTGGTGCAAATCGTGCAAATCAGTGAAATATTCAGATTCAGAATAACCAACGTCTAAAAAGAAGTTCTCTGTATTAATGTATTATTGCATTTGTTATTGCATATCGGTATTAATGCGATCAGATTTGAGTCGCTTAGTTTAATAAAAAATTCGCTATGAGTCTTGAATAAAGTAATTGATTTTGAAAAAAATAAAACCATTTTAGCCAAGGCTCAAACCATTTGGTTTATATAATAATATAAATTATTGTATAAACCAAATTATATATTAATATCAATAAAACTTATTGCTGTTTTTTCTTCAGTTTAATTGGCTTCTTGATGGCTCAGCGTTGTAATAAATGCAATTGATACATGATTGTAAAAATAAAAATGCACATGCATTTCTCCACCATATATGTGTATGCAGAAACATGAATATGCGCATGCATTTTTCTATATCTTTTGGAGAAATTAATCAATCGCACACGTATATACAATAGAAAGAACATCATATTATGATCATATTATTGCATAATCTATGGTAAATTAGAAATTACAATAAACAACGAGATGCAAACTTCTAATGTTTCTAATAGCGGCTGCTAAAATTTGATTATTCGCAATGAGTGTTAATCATTTTCCGGAAAGTCCTATTTCGGACTACAAACGAAATGAACGGCAAGAAATGCTGATCGCTCCACCGTTAGATTTATCGTTTAAAAAGGCCACTACTATGCACGGTACATAAGTGGAAAGAATATTTTCATATTTGTCAATATCGAATTTGAATTACATTTTAGTTGACATGATATAAAACATATTCGTTGTCATTTTTCTCACAGAATTGATGGATAAACACGTGCAAATAGTGCGCACCGGAAAATCACCGATGAGAACTTTTAAAGACCGTTACATTACCAGTACAATGTGGTTGAGCAATAATCTATTACGCTCTATGGAAGGTTTTCAAAATCTTGTGAACAAATTTCTCGAAAATCCAATATATCTCAGTTGGTTGGATTTATCTTTCAATGAAATAAGCAAGATTGGGGAGGACATTGAAAAGTTTACAAATCTGAAAATTCTCTACTTACATGGCAACAAGATCTCAAATATCATGGACGTTCTAAGACTGAAAAAATTAGAAAATCTCAGATCTCTAACATTACATGGTAATCCAATTGAGAATGTCCCATGCTATAGAGGCTATATTGTACATCTTCTCCCACAACTGCATGTCCTTGATTTTTCACCAGTGATTGCTGCTGAGAGAAAAAAGGCACAACCTGTTGGATTTTTTAAGATAATGCAATCTAGGGTATAAATATAAAATTTTATTCTCATGTTACTGCGTTTGATATACAATTTTTCAATGATTTTATTTTCATATCTTTATCGAAACATTGTACCATGTTATTCAAGGTATATCAATTTTTTTTTACAAAGTACACATTTGATAAATTAACATTTTGAGAACAATATATGTCCCTTAATCATTTAAATTTATTTAATCTTATTATTACTTGTAAATAATTCATTAGATTCACAGAAATAATTCGTAATTTTTTAAAGTGAAATCGTGAACATTGTTACATATGCGTGTGCAGCTTTCAAATTATTCGTGACATGGTTTTGTTTTTATCAAACACTTTTTACAAATTAATTACAAAAATTTAAAAAGATGTAATATCTAAAACATATCTATAATGTTTCTCTTTGTTTAGTTAAATTTCTGTGAATTTGTGCAAAGCACAAGAAATGCTTCATAATATTAAGTTTAATATACCTAAAAGCTATATATAAAACTACATATCCTTATTAAAAAGCGATATATTTGTTGACCACTTGTAATTTTTGACAAAAATTGTGTATCTGTAAATAATGAAAATACTTGCTTGTAAGAAAAAATTGTTCCACAATATTACCGATAACAAACATACATTTTATACTAAAACTTTTCAAGATCTAGAAAGTAATTGTCAATTTTCAAATAAACTAAAGAAATGGCACGATAGGCCTACACATTAAAAATTAATTACAATCGGTTCAATGTTTTACTCAGTGATATTTCACAGTTCAAAATTGCGTCTATGTATATCAGTATGCTCAGTGCCGTCTATGCTTGCTACGATGTTTGCTCGATTTTTCCAAATCTCTATCTCGAGATCGACTTCGCGACCTATAACTTCGTGATCTTCGTGATGATTTGTGACTACCTGATCGTCTTCGCTGCGTTTTCTTGGGTTTGCAAGATCTTCCATGACTATGACTTCGAGATCTACTTCTGCTATGCTTTTTTCGTTTAGAATGCTTTGTCCCATCGCCCCGTGATGGCGAGGTACTTGGAGATTTTGAACGCCTGAAAAAAATATCAAAGTGATCAAGTTTTTTTTTAAATTTATTGCATGTGGTAGTGAAATTATATATATATGGCATGAAAAATTTTACATAGTTCTCGCTTCTAATGTCGTAATTAAATAGAGCTGCAGAGAGAAAGGAAGTTTTAATTAAACAGAATCTCTCTTTTCAACTTCAATTAAACATAACATTCAACTGAATTTACTGTGAAACCTCATAAATACTAATAATATGTGCATACAATAGAACATACTAAACAGTTTCGTATAAGTTCGTCGTGTAAGAATATAATGTACCTGGGGGATTTCGTTCTTTCTGGAGCTGCATGCGTGCCACTACGACTGATAAATCCGCCCCAAGCGTTGTGATGTTTCGGTAATGGTGGACTTGGTGTATGACCATCGACATCTCCGCCGCGTGCCTTGGTCCTGGCCTCCTCGTATTGACGTCGTAGCTCTTCAACGCGCTTTTCCAGTTGCTCGGGTTTCACACGCGGTCGCGAGTAAAGACGCAATATACGCCGACACACATCTCTGATCGACGATTCGCTGACTCTGAACAGCGAGAACCAAGCAGGTGATGTGGGCAATGGCAGTTGTAGCTGGCGAGAGGCCAGATAAACGCACGCACACGCCACTGTCTCCGGCTGATAGCGCAAAAACACATCGGAACGCAGTGAATCATTCATGTAATTCCAACTTTGTTGCATTAGAGCGCGATTTTTTTCATATCCCAACACTTGCAAATACATAACTATGATCTTGTGAGGGTGCTTTACATGAACGCAGAAGCCCAGTTCTTTCAAAACTCTTCTCTCCGATTTAATCACTTGATTTTTTAGAGCTACATAGTTCTGATCCAAAACCACAGGTTGAATCGCTCTGAAATAAATCATAGAGATAAATTCTTTTAATTTGTTTCTTTTTTTTTTTTACCATTTACTGCGCATTGTGTATTTTTAATTACTTATAAGATAAAATAAAAGTAACAAAATGACTTACTTTTGGCTAGAAACTTGTTTTACGTGATTGAAAACGTTGATTACATCCCTGATACGCCTGGGTGCTTCCTCGATTTTACTAGCTAAGCAGATGCAACCCATTGCAGTTGTCTCCATATTGTGTCTAACTAAAGATTTACTATAATAAAATCGTTGGAAAATTACTTGTCCCGTAGCCATTGCAACCTACACATATAAAAAGAAAAACGATGGTTAGATCACATCACTCTGTAACATAATTTTTCATACGTTATCTATGTTTAACCCTTTAAGGACGCGAGCAGATATTCCCGTCGTCATACTTCTATTTTGCTGTGCGATACACATCGACTTATATCCAGTTGCCACTCATTTGTGTACATTAGCCACCAAGAGTCTGGAAAGTACATACAGTTTGAGCTGTTTTTGTCAGTTTATTAAATAATTAATATACAGTTGTAAGTTCTGTCCGCAAAGGGTTAAAGTAATAACATTTTGCTATATTAAAAGAAGCCATTAAGTAAAGTAATATAGACCAAAAGCAATATAGTCTAAAATATAATTCTTTTTTATAATGTTAAAAAATTTGTTAAAAAAAATAATACTTTTAACATGTTAATATTAGATTTTTTAACAAAATTTGACAAATTTTTTAATTTAAATACTTTTAATATCATATTTAAATATTACTTTAATAATGTTAAATTTAACTTATTAAATGAAACTTATTAAACTTTACCTTGTTAAAGGTGTCAATATACACGTAAACCTTATAAATGTCTAAAGATAAATATTTGCATTTTGCAGCCATTTTATAAATTGAAAGAATTCAATAATATAACAATTCTATGTATAGCCAAATAAAACTACATGTACAGAATTACATAACAGAACATATTGATAATAAATAATACAAGTATACAAGTAAAAAGATGATTTACTTGCAGTTTGATTTCAATTAGATACATTGAGGTTATAAATGTTAGGTTAGGATAAAATTCTGAGTAGCGGCATCGCATATAAAAACCCACCTGCGGCAATTTTAGTAGAATGCCGGCTGTCTGTATTAATTCGCATCCTAAAATCCGCAAATCCGTCTCAGTTTCTGCATCGAGACCGTCCAAATGCGACGGCGTGGAGTTGAGCTTTTCTTCGGGTAGTAGACAATTCTGCAACGTCAATACGATCTTGCCGTAGAGCTTTGCATTCGGCGCGTTCGTGTTCTTCGCTGGTGCAGTGGAGTTCTCTTTCGCATTCATCTTGAAACGCTCGATTACTCCAGCAATAAAAAAGACACGAAATTTATACAAGCTGTACACGCAAAATTCGCATTATAAACGCGTGACATAACCTTAACGGTTACCGTATAAATGTGCAGCTACTTGAACAAGTTAGCAACAGGGGCTCGTCACTAATCGTACCAACATACGATATTTTTTAAAAACGAACATAACGTTAGACAAAATCCCTAGAAGGGACACTTTTTCTATTGGACATCGGTATATCATTCAACCGCAGTAAAAGCAATGTGAATCCATCATAATTGTTAAGTTTACTAATCAAATCCGCTTTTTGAAGATGACAGTATACGGAACGCATTTTACGTCAGCGCTCGGAATTAGTTGCACATTTCGGGCCGATTCCCGAGACGACGCCTCCTGTTCCCCCACTACCGCTCGGCCGCTGGCGGCCGAGCCGCCGATAGCTCTGGCGCAGGAGCGTTTTATATAAGAAATAGGCTGGGTTGTTGAGGCACCTCTCAGAAAATAGTAATATTTTTTTTGCTACATAAATAATGTTTATTTTCATTAATAATTAAATATATATATATTATGTATTAAT